ACGCCCTCACCTCACCCTCCCATTCCAGGCATGCAGGAGAAACTACGGTGGCTGCTGTCTAGAGCCAGTGTTTGGTTTGTGCATCCTGGGCTACTGTAGAAACATGGCAGACCCTGTAGAAGAGGACCCACTTCCTCTGTATCTCATTCTAAGGTAACAAAAACACAATGATTCTTCTTTTCAGGTGATTACACACTAATGAAAACATACTTATTAATATTATATTGCATCTCTGCAAATAGATCCTCTTAAATGTTACACATTGAAACTTTAAAAAGTCAACATCGACTTTTGGACCTCAGTTTTCCTTCCTGGGTGAAAGTCCAACCTCCTCCATACACCGGTATTCTTGCTCTTTATACTGCTCCAGTCATAATCACTACGGCCACTAGAGGTCACCGCCTAACAATAACGGAAATAGGTCGGAATTGGCTGCTTGCACAATGTTTCTGGTTAGGACGGGCTTTCTTAAAAGCCATATTTAGAATACATTTTTTTGGTCATAGCCGTGGTCAAAGTTGCATTCACAAGATGACTTCTAAAGTTTTCAATTCAGCTTGCCAGACTTTTTAATTAATCTGCATTTTGACTTTTGAAAGGAAACCACAAACATCTTTATAGTTGCTGCTCGAGTACGCACTCGACTGTATCTATGGGAGGATTTTTCCTTTATTGAGCAAAATAACATGATTTCTTTTCTTTTCAGTCCTTGCATTACTTCTTCTCTGTGTGTGTCAGACGTCTAGCAGCTTTTGAAATCTGGTTGTATGGAGGGACTTTGCTTATTTCCATCGTCCTGTGGCTCTGCAGAGGCTGACGCTTTCCATTTTCTACATCGTGACTAATCCTTGCCATTATCTCTGTCTAAATAACATAATCAGAGAAAAACAGCAGAGAAACTGTCTGATGTTGAACTTTCCTGTGTGTTACCTTATAGTGGCAGGACAATTAACCCACAATGCTTTGCTTGAGTAAAAACAGAAACCTATACTGGTGTAAAAAACAGCCTAACTTGTTTTTAAGTAATTTATGGGGCTATTTTTCCTGCTTTTATTAGAGAACAGAGAGACGGCAGGCAATCAGGGGAGAGAGATGGGTGATGACATGTAACAAAGGTCCCCTGGCCCGACTCAAACCATAGACTTTGCAATTACATTGTCAGTGCTGCCTAACCTTTCAATAAGCTAATTTTACAAAAGTGAAATTGAATGAGGCGTGCAGGGATGGGTATCATTAGGATTTTATCAATACAACTCATAACAATACTGCTTGTCTCTTCCTTTTGATTGCCGTACAAGAAAAGGTAAAAAATCAGAACACAATTCACATAAATGTGAAGTGATTGGACCAGGATCACATTTCTGTAAATGTACGTTCTCGTTGTTCAGCAGGTGTTTGATAAACGGCTCGTCTCTTATCAGCAGGTTTTGTTGCACTTATAGCGAGTGTTTCATGCTTATCTCGCTCCCCGGTTTTGTCAGAACCAATAGAGGGATCAACTTTAAAATACAGGTCATTCAGAACCAGGTTCCTGGAAACTGATGCAATAACCTGCTTAAAGCTGCACTAACTGATATTTTCATATTAACAGTGTCCTGCTCTCTGCAAAAGCTCTGACAAACAGACTGTTGACTACCTGCTCAGCACCAAACAGACGACATTAGAGACAAGCTGGCGATTGTAATGGAGCATTTAGCAGCTTAAGAGCCAGATATTGTTTTCAGGAGTGGGTGGAGACCAAAACAGAGCTAAAAGAAGAGCGAATATTGGATTTACATTAACCTGGTGGCCAGAAAAGGTGGCTAAAAAGGTCTATTTTCTTTAGGGTTTATCTAAGTAAGTATTTAAGCTCTTTTGTCTAAAAAACTTTCAGTATTTTTTGTGACATCAGTCCACGACTAAAAAGACTAAACTCCAAATGAATGCTAATGTTGCTCAGTATAATACACTATATCATAACCAGGTTCACATCCTTAAAACAACAGCCAATATAATTCCACCATCCAACATTATTTATATTACGTACACATATGACAATGAGATACAAATCATGAGTGCAAAAACTGGCTTTTCCATTCACTATATTTTCCAATACTACAGTAGATCCAGAATACTTAAATTTTCATAAGATAAAATAAATATAAAATACATTTATGTATTCTGGATCTATTGTAGTATTGGAATATACAATACAATCGGAGCCAATCTGATGAAACAACATGCTAAACGTGTAGTTCGGCCCTTCTTGTTTTGTTTTTAATGTAATAAAACCATCCATCCTGGTATTTGTGTGTTTTTGTTTACTGTGGTTGGCTCTGCACCAGCTGGCCACCAGGAGAGAAGTGCTGCTGTGAGCGGGGGTATCCTCAGCTTTTTAAACTTTAGAAGGTCATTTATATGTCAGTGTTGTGTTTACAGCTTGTTGCAACAATCAATGAATGCAGCATTAAGTATTAATATGTGATTCTGAATACTTTTAATACTCAATACTTTGCCGATGGTTCAAAAGAATCAGCTCCTGCACGCTGTTCAGTTGGCCAGCCTTAATCAGGTATTGAATAAGTTCACTGTAAGTACTGACAAAGTGCAGGAGCCGTAAATACTTGGTCGGTACCAATGTTTGATATCTGCTATAACACAGAATTACATCAGGGTCTGATTGGCCACCTGATTATCCGTACCTCTTTCTGAGGCTGTAGCAGGCTCCTTTTTATAGCTAGAGTGAATTTATCCATCAGTATCAACCATCTCATGCTGGCATTTTCAGGAAGGGGGGGTAAATAACACTTCAAAGTTAGGCTAAATTTTGCTGATGGAAAAACTGGCATGGTCCTTTTCAAAGGGGAGCCCTTGACCTATCTGATATCTGGATGAAAATGGGTACCCATGAGTGCCCAAACATTCCCACTTTATGCTAATGTAATGCAGTTTCGGGCAAACACTGCAGTTTTTTTGCATAAATGTGTTATTTTCTCCTAGTGTATTTGAATATTTCTGCATGCTAGGGTCCATAAACAGTGTTGGAGTTGCATAAATTGGGAATGACTGGAAAAGCTGAGACACAAAATTCAGTTATAATTCAGTCAAAAAAGTCTGGAAACGCCTCTGAATCACAGTCCACCCTAAAAAATGTAACCATGGATAAACACACACCAATAATACCTTACATTTCTGGGTTTATTTTTCAGTTTTTATTAATTTTAACTGAATAAGTGGAATGCAGAAGACTTCATATCATGTTAAGATATGTCCAGTGCAACTACAATGGACTCTTTAAGCGTTTGTTTTATCTGAAGCATCAACAGTAAATGTGAGCTTTAGGTTTCAGAATCAAACTGATGTTCAACAATCAAAACAAAACTAAATCCATCACTGCAGAGGCTCCGGGACCAGTTACTACACAGACAACATATTGGCATCTAAATAACAGGCTGAACTTTTATTTCTCTAGTTGCTATTCGTATTTGTTCTCCCCTCCAGCAGCTAATTTCATCTAATGAGTTCACATCTGTTCTGCAGAGGTTGTTCAAAGGCAATCTGGGGAATGCAAATAGTAATAAAGTGAAGGAAATGGTGACGAGGTAGGCTGAAGGAAGGCGGATTCAACAAAAACACACCATAAAGTTTATTGAAATGTACTGAACATAATGAATTGAAGGTGTCTCCTGTGGACTCGGACGTCGATCCTGTAGGAGACACTTTGAGGATCCAGGATTTTAGGCTACACAGTGTTAATCTCGACTGTCTGAGCCACGGAGCAGAGTCCGCCCCCCTCCTCCTGTAAGATCAGCAGCTCTCCTACTGTCTGCTCCCCGTGGACCACAATGCACTGCTCTACGCCCTCTGAGATCACCACCTCCACCAGCTCCTGCCCCGTCCCTGAGGGCAGCGAGCTGTCCGAGGCGAGGAGCAGAGGGGCGGAGCCTGGCGTGGACAGGTCGTCTGTGTGTACGTAGACGACGGTCTGTTGGATGTCACAGTCAACTCCTCCCTTCCCTGCTCTCGAAGTCTCTTCAACGTCCCTCCTCGCCTGCCTCGCCTCCTTTTCCTCCCCTTTTCCTGGTCGCCTTTTCCGCCTCACTTGACCCGCCTCCTCCTCTCCTTGCCCATGAGGGAGCGAGTTCTTCTTGGGCCTGCCTCGGATCGGCTTCGGGTGGTTGGAGCTTGACTCTTGCACGACCTCTTTCTTGCCGCTGTTCATGTCCTCTCCTCCCTCCGACTCCTCTTCCTTCCCCTCCTCCTGAGTTCCTCCCTCAGTCCGGTGCTGAGCTTGGTGCCTTAGCAGGCTTTGTCTCACAGTGTAGGAGGCGCCGCAGTGGCAGCTGTACGGCTTCTCCACCACGTGAGAGGACTTTATGTGTCTTCTCAGCTTGGTGGCCAAGGTGTAGCCTGAGGGAAAACAAGAAGATAGAAGTCAGTTAGTACAGCCCCTTTTTACACTGCACAAAAAACACCCACTAACGTGTGGATTCTGGTACAATCGGGACTAATTCCAGGGTCAAATGACTCCAACATGATACCCGGGTGCACTAGCTAACTTCCGCCTGTTTTCCACAGCGTTGCTATGGCGCACGTTGAAGTTCTACATTATTTATTGTTTTTTTCGCAGTCTGTGGGAACAACGTGCAACATCTTAGTGTCATGCAAGATGCAACAGTGGTGAGACAGCGAAGTGAGAGAGGAAATGAGGAGACAGATCACTGGCACTTCCTCCAGCAGAGGTCTGGCTCTGTGAGTCACTTTTAGACAGATGTTTGGGTGTAATTTGGGTGTAAAAAGGGAATGAGTAACGTGGTTAATACAGCAGCACCTAACAGAGAAGTCACAAAGTGCTTCACAAAAGAAATAGGACAACCAAAAATACCATAAACTCCATTAGAAATAGAAATAAAGAACACAAAGGCAACTTCAAACTGCTTTTTATTTGCCCAGACCTTTTATCTATTTATTATACTATTACTTATTTATCTTTACAAAGTAAGAAGGAAAGAGTGCAAAGTATAAAATATCAATGAGGAGCAAATCCACAGTAAGCATCATTCTTAGTGACTTACTATAGTATGCAAGTCACTAAGAATGGTGTGACATATAGCTACAGGACAATATCACATCTAAAGTAAAGGTATATGGTTGATTTGAAATGTTCAGTGATTTTTTGTTTTATTAAACCTTTATTTAACCAGGAAAGGTCCCATTGAGATTAAAATCTCTTTTTCAAGAACAGCAACACAACAGCAACACAAAACAAGAACAAGTCAAAACAAAACAGACATAAGACACTATGACTCTCAAAATGCACCTAATGTCCCATAAAAATCTAATCCAAACCGCAGAAAATCGGCCATCCATTAAACATTATTCTGTATGAGTAGACCTCTTTGTTTCATTAACAGTATCATTTACCTCATCGCTCTTATGTACCTTTGTTTTTCATTATTTCATCATAAAGGGTGAAGCTGATCTACATTTTTCTTATTGTCAGCAAATCCCATTAAAATACTGTATATTAGTCCGTCCCTTAATACTTCCCCCACACACCTGTTGGTGGCCCATTGGTTCCTACTGAATATATAAATATTTAAAAATGGTTCAGTAATTTCCTAAAACAGCTGGTCACTGTAGAGTTTATCAAACGTTACTCGAACAGGAGGAAGTAGTGCATTTGTTGGGGACTATTTTCAGCGACGGATGAATCCACATTTGGTGTTCTAGGACGGTGTGTGTGTGTGTGAGTAAGTCAAAATAAACTACAGTGTGTTTGTTGATGGTAATTCAGAAAGATGTATAATAGTTTTTGGACAACAGTAGTACAGAAAAAGAAGATACATCAGGCTTTGACACACAGATAGAACCTGTTAGATACAGACACAGATTTTTTCCAATTAATAAAACATCACCAGAGTCGTCTTTTGACTTAAACTGTTTGTAAATCAAGTGCATGAATTGTGCCATACAGCTGTGAACGATTAGAGTCCAAACTTGTCAATACTCACTCCTGTGAACACATTTCAGCAAAATAATCAAATAAAAAATGAAAAGAAAAAACATGCCATGTGGGATAAAAGGCCACAACTTTGCGTTCATCAATAATGCAACCACTGAACTCAGCAAACAAGTTTTCTAATGCTTCATAAAAAGTGTATGTGGACAACCTCGTAATGAGCAGTTTGTGCTTTCCAATCATGTATGCAGGACAGAACATCTGCAGCCCACTGAGTGAGACAAACAAGGTTGGTTGGAGGGGAATTGGCCAGCTTTGTGTGCCTGACTGGATTTTTTATTGACTCATTTTTTAATGTTTTGTTTCAGTTTGTTTTTCACTCTGAAAATCTTTTTCTTTGACAAAATAACAAAATTACTTGAAGATGTTAAATTCAGCCTTGGTAGCATTTTGTAAACAGCACAACATGAATAGATTATCTTAATTGAATAACAACTGTCGAACATGTTAAGATTTTAGCTAAAATGTTATTCAGAGTGTCTCTTTAACATTATGACGTAATAAAATATTGATTTTAGATATTTTTTAATTTCAAAGTCTGTTTCCAGTTGTCGGGGAGTGCTACACAACATGTGAAAAAAGTTGTATAAAGTCTTTTGTGGCTACTGAGCGAGCCGTGTGGCGTCTGATAAATGTCCTCAAGTGATGTCCCTCGAGTCAGCGCCAGTTGGGTCTGAACACTATCGGTTTAAAACTGAAAGAAATGTGTTTATGTGGAGTTTAGAAAGAAGTGAGTCTACCAGACCTCTTCAACTCTGATTGAGGTTAGCGGCTTGAGGCTACATTAATCGCTACTAGCATAACACATGAAACTCTGACTCAACTCTTGGCAGCAAGTTGCATTGTGGGTAATAGAGGCACTAGGTTTTGACAGAAAAAGAGTATATTTCTGTTACTGCTGCCACAATTTAGATTTTAAAACGTGATAATAACAACTAAGAATGCTATGACTGCCCTCTACTGGTAGATAAGAGAAGTGCGACTGGATTGACTGACCTTGTGGAAGGAATTCTATCTAAACCTGTAGAAATTCAGTATTATTGTGTCAAAACACTCCCAAAAGAACTGTTAATGATTTATGATTCACCATGGCAACGGCTGACCTGCTCCGTAACATCCCGGATCCTTGACGGGCGGACTGCGTTCAGAGCCGACAGAGCTCAGGACGAGAGCAGGCGGACTGTGTGTGTTTACATCGATGATGTTTGGTGCTCAAATGCATTCAAAGTTTCTTTTTATGTGAAGATGAAACCATATTATCACTATCTGGCACTGATATATAAGAAGCTCAAGGAAGTAAAAAAGATTTGTTTCTGGGATATAAAACACTGATATTGAACTCGATTTAACAAGTTACAACAATGGTTTACATAATATTCCAGCAGAGGAACCAGATTACTTAAGAGACCATTGCACAACATGTGCAACCCTTGTGTTGTATAATGATAAATACGTCGATGTAATTGTGTTATTGAATGTCTGAGCTGCATTTATCTGTAGATAGGGCAGAAGTAACAGTGACCTCAGCTTTGCACAGCTTTTTAGAGTCTTACAGTTTATTGTTTGAGTTGTTATGGCCCACGACTTCACTGTTGTTTTCCACTGTCATAGTTCTCATTAGTGTCATTTCCAGCCACAGCAGGCAGCTGCTTTCAGTGGAAAAGCTAAAAAACTCTCAGGAGTTGATAGAGACTGAAACACAGCGTAAGAGAGTGAATATTGGACTGACACACGACTCCAAATGAATGCTAATGTTGTTCTGTGTCTTCTGGATGTGTAAGAAAATCAACTGTTTGCTAACATGTTCACCATATACGTGATAATATGTCGATGTTGTGTTTACAGATTACTGTGCAGCTTCCATGTGGCCAAATAATGCAGATTTAAAGCCACTTTGTATAGAATTTTCAAACTTTCTGACTTTTTGGCCTCTTTGTCGTAGTATAGTAGTAAAAAAAGACGCTGTGGTACACTGCTACACTCCCAGTGGTAAAGACTGCAGCACAGAGGGAACCGGGCATCCCAAATGGAGAGAAAATGGAGGCGTTTATTCTGTATAATTATTAATTATCTAGGATAGATTAGAGAACTTATCCACAGACTGTTCTGACCTTTTCCACAGACTGGGCAGCGGTGAGGCCTGTCTCCAGTGTGCAGCCTCTCGTGAGACTTCAGGCTGTGCGGGTCCCTCAGCGATTTTCCACAGTAGCTACAGAGGAAGCCTCCCCCGGTGTGGGAAAACATGTGCCGACGGAGTTCTGGTTTCTGGGAGAAACTCTGGTCACACTCGGTGCAAGGATACGGCTTCTCTCCGTTGTGAGTTCTTAGATGGCATTCGAGGTTCCCTGAGAGAGAGACAGACAGGGAGACAGACAGGGAGACAGAGATTATGCTTGTCGATGGGGAGAGGTTGCGGTCGCAGCGGGAGCGGGGGCACAGTGAATATGCATTTGTCCAATAATGTGTGAAGATTAGGTTCTCTCACAAAATTGATGTTGTCACTTTGATAAATGAAAATATAAATTGTAGGCATTGATCACAGCTGGAGACCCATTGCCTCACAAACTGCGGAATAGTCTCTTGTTAAAAATAATTAAGCCAAGTTAACTCATCGGCGTGAGCACAACAGCGTTATGTTTTCCGTCTTTCACAACAATTAAAGGAATACTTTGACATTTT